ATACTACTCTATATGATTTATCACCTTTGAGTTGATATGTGTGAAAGTTGACTTTTTCTCTTTCAAGAATTTTATAGTTTTGCGATAAGAGTCGGTTGTATATGTATTTAATTTTAAACCATTTTCGGAAGATTTGCATAGAAAACCATCAGGTTGAGTCAACTGTTTAATGGGTTCGCAGAAAAGATTAAACTGCACTATAACGGCTTCAATAAATATAGGTGGTGGTAAAGGGAGTTTTGTCTGTGGTATATTAATTGGAGTATCAGTTTCTATTTGAATTTCGTCATTGTTTTGAGCAAGTGGAGAGAATCTGTTTTTAGAAGTATACGTAGAGATTGAATGTTTGTGATTTGGAGAGGTACCCGTTGGAGAATTTAGATTATTTTTTTTCTCTTGGTTGTCTTTGTTGACCAGGGTGTAGACCAGTCGAAAATATTATTATCATCATCACTGGGAGTGGGAGTAGTTGAAGGTGACCCGTCTTTCGATAGTATAGAGTTTTGGTTGATTATTGTTATCGGTGGCACTAATGGCTTTTGTTTATCAGTTTTCCTTGACAATGGAGATTTGTTATTCATCGCGGTGTTAATTAGTGGGACTAATTAAGAAGCGGTGTTTATAGTGGTTTTTGAGCCCGGGGAGCCCTAACGGGCTGTAATACTTACAGAATCGCTTCCGGCGTAATCTCACGAATACGGGTGTATCAGACGAAAACAATTTTTTACTGGTTTTAAGTTAGTTTTATACGTAACGCAAGAGCGTGACAAAAGCACATGTTGATTGTTCAGCCGTCCGGCACTTGTGTTTTAAATTCTTATACGGTTTATTCGTAACTGCCAAATAATCTCTCCTAAAGTATTATATAGTACCATATTTTAGAATTTCGTATTTTTCTATAGCTACATTTTCGCGATAACCGATAAGTATTTAATTCCAATATGGCTATACATAAATAAGTTATAGTGTTATACTAATTAAAAGTTGTTTCACTTATAATGCTCTTCACTTTTCCTTGTTACCTACCCGAAGCGCGACGTGGTTTTGCACAATAAATCGAGGGTTATTTTCGATTAAAATTGTTCGAATGAGCTCAGTGAACGACTGGCCACCTTGGGTCTCTAGTTCCATCTATAATGCTTTTACAATTTTCCCTGCTACCTACTCAACGTGGTTTTGCACAAGACTGGTTATCATGAATACATAATTTAAAACAATATTTTTTTTGCGTTGTTGTAACTAAATTTTTAATTAAATTTTTTTTTCTTAACGTTGGTGTTCGTGCAGACTGAAATGGCTATGATTTCTTATCATTTTTTCTGAAAACTGTATACTACCCTAATAAGAAATCGATATTGTTTTATTCTATATCCAGCCACTGACTGAGAAAGTCGTCTTTTGGTATTTAAAGTAGTTTGGATAATAATTAGGAAAAATCGAATTATAGGAAAATTACTATTTTTTCTGTTCAAATTACGGCGCAACGATTTCATTATTTATTATTTTCAAGATTAAATTATTACCAAAAATGTCTGTCCAACTTTCAAGTATTTTGATTTGGTAGGTATCTATAATTATTATTATTTAGACTTATAAGATAAATGCTTGAAAATAACCTGAGTGGTGTATACATTCGGAATATTCGATAGCGGATTTGTACAAATTGAATAAAAAAGATTGACAAATTTCGCACATGGGTCGGCCACTGTTGTAGGTGAGAAGTTGGGAAAGTAGAGGGCACTCAATGCATTATCTGTATGCAACGATTAACCATTGCTAACGAAAAATGATTTTGAGCGGAATTCTGTTAATAGTGTTACCTGTTTCACAAAATATATTATATAAAATAATGGAAATAATTAGATTTGCATCGTGTATTTTATTTGATAATATTTGTTTTATATTGTATCTATTTTTCCTTTTTTTTACATTTTTTTTACAGGAGGAAAACTCCTGTGAAAATCAAAATACAACTTCCCTAGTGTTCTCTCCAGTTAAATTTCTTTTTAAAAAAAGTGCTATCGTTGTAATTTGAAAAAAAAATGCTGGTAGAAAAGTTGTTTACAGGAAAAATAACGTAGTAATATTTTTTCATTAACATCTATATGTCGTAAATTTTTCGTTTTCCTTCGTTTTTCCCGTTTTTCTCAGTTATAGCAAATACTTTTAGGAAAAAAAAAATTACCACTTTCAAGTACCGTATAGATAAAATTCATTTCAGAAAAGGTGCTACATTTGATACATGATTTCTGATAGAAAAGATTTCTGGTAAAGAAAAGTTTTGAATGACAAATCAAGGGATATTTTAAAATTAAAATAGTCTGAGTGAGAGATGTCTTGGATCTCTAGGTACACCCAATATGCATGCGGAACTGGGGTTTGAACTCGCGATTTCTAGGATGACAACAAATACCTAGCACCACTAGAGTGTGACAGACGATAAAATTGACAATATATCAATATAGAATTATTTAACATGGCATATAGGTAAAATCCGAATTTGGTCTACATAATTTTTTACTTAAACGAGTATCGTCAAAATTTGATGTAAAAATTATTTAAGAAAAAACATACTACATTAAGTTCAAAAATGAACGAAAATTCTTTTAATGAAACTCCTCTTAAATTTGTAGCCCAAAAAAGCTAAAATTTTATAAAAATAATACTACTTCTAGAAAAAATAAGTTTTTTAAGCATATATAAGTATTGTGTCTAAATTAAAAGTGCATTAAACCCATACAAAATATTTTTAACAGAATTTCATCAAAAATTTAAAACTTTTATAAAAAGCTTAAAAATGACATGAGTCTTTTGAAAAATGATAATGTTTAAAAAAGGCAAATATAATATTTTGCCAAAATGTCAAGTCTCTATGAATATTTTTAACTGAATTACAAAAAATAACAAAATTAAAAATAAAAATAGCAATATTTTCGTAAATTTTCTATATTTCCTACGTTTTCAAAATATTATTAAACAGAACAAAATATCAAAAATGACAATAAAGTCACCATCTAGAACACATTTTCTTACAAAAATAAAGCCACATATTTTACTCTTTATTCCTGAAAAAAAATTTTGTTTTAATCACTGTATCATTAAGGTTCAAATTATTGATCATTATGGAAGTAACATCAGCTTCATCTTCATCATTATCAGAATTGATTACAATAGTCTCATCATTAATATTATCACCAATTTCGGTACCGATAACATTAATTTCTTCTTTGGCATTATCATCATCATTCTTGATAATTATATCGATTTTCTGTTGAACGTCATAATTTTCATCAGATGCGTGTCCGGAAACATAGTCCATACCTTCCATCACTGTAAAACCCAACGTAATCAATGTTCTTATTTTTACAAAATATTATCTATTAATGATCGACAAATACATGGGTAGGGTACAGTTTAGTTATGGTGATTTTTTGAATTATGTATCAA